GGGGTGGGGGCTGCCGGGGTGGGATGGGGTGGGCACGGCAGGATGGGGACACTGGGGTGGGATGGGGCTGCCATGGTGGGATGGGGTGGGCACGGCAGGATGGGGACACTGGGGTGGGATGGGGCTGCCATGGTGGGATGGGAACGACACAGTGGGATTGGAACCACGAGGATGGAACCTGCCAACCTGCTGGGTGGGAGCACCGGACTGAGGGGCCAGAGCTGGAGCGGAGCCGACGCTGAGGCTCAGGAAGGGGGGGCTCACCCAGCCCTGCACATGGAGGGGGGGTCGGGAGGGGCCAGAGACAGCGGGAGCACTCAGGGACCCACCATCCCACCCGCCCCACCGGCACCACTGTGGCACATCCTGAGCTGGGATGGGCTGGGGGGGAGTGGGGGCTGGACTGGGACCCCAAAGGGCACCCAGTGTCTCCCACCCCCGGGCCACGCAGGGACGGGGCGGGGGCACAGCGGCGCGGGCACGGGCACGGGCACCGTCAGGGCCGGGCTCCCCGGAGGCGCGGCACAGGCCACGGGCAGACGGAATTTCCTCATCCTTCCCAGCTCGGCTGCCCGGACACTGCGCCGGGCGTGGGTTCTGCCCTGGCACCCACACGGCGGATCCCGAAAGCGGACGTGTCCCCCAACCCCTCCACGGCCGCCACCCCAAGGCCGGGGAAGAGCCACGGGGAGGTCGGGGCTGACCCCGGGGCCACCCCAAACTGGTGACCTGGGGGTCCTGACCGGCACGGGGGGCTCCCATGGCCCGACCTGCGGCCACCCCCGAGCGGGAGGTGGGAGCCCTCCCCAGTCCCTGCTGCGTGTGCACCGCGACATTCCCACAGCGAGCACTCCCGCACCGAGCCATTCCCACGCCACCTCGGCCGTTCCCTCTCCAGCCGGGAGATCCCACCCCAGCGGCCCCACCGAGCTGGGCTGGGCACCCCCTGCCAGGGCTCCTCGGGAAGGGTACGGCCGGGTTCGGGTGCCTGCGATGGCCCCGCGCCCCCTCCGCGGGCCCTGCCGGGGGCTCGGGACGCTCTGGGAGCTCCGGGAGAAGCCGCCGCCGCCGCGGCGTCCCCAGAGGTTCGCCCCGGTTCTCGGGCTGGCCCCGGGACACAGCGTCCGCTCCCCAGGCTGCCTCCTCCCGCCGGGGCTGGGCCGGGCTGCGGGGTCCCCGCCGGCCCCCAGGGCCCTGGGCCAGCCCGAGCGGCCACGGCAAAGCCGCGTCCTCCCCTCCCTGCGCCACCGCGGGCAGGGACACCCTGGGGTCCTGCTGCGCAGCGGCCAGGGAAGGGGAGAGCCCGGGGAAGGGAATGCTCGGGAAAGGGGACACTCGGGAAACGGGATGCTCAGGAAAGGGGACGCTCGGGAAAGGGGACATCTCGGCTGAGGGGATGCCGAGGGAAGGGGACATCGGGAGAAGGGGATGGTCGGTGAAGGAGATGCTCAGGAACGGGGACAGGGCTGCCCGGGGAAGGACACGTCCCAGGGAAGGGGACCCCCCCGGGAAGCAGCCGCGCGTCCTGCCCAGCGCAGGCCACAACCAGCCAAGGGCACACCCCGCAGCCCCACCGCCCCCAGCTCGTCGCCCCGCAGCTCCCGCATCCCCAGGGCCCCTCCAGCTGCCCCTCGCCGCTGCCTCCTGCCCTTCCCCATCCCGCTGCCGGGCGCCAAGGCCCCGCACTGCGCCAGCCTGGCCCGGCCCCGACCCCCGGCCCCGCACCCCGCACCCCGCCCGGAGGGTCCCGCCAAGGTCAGGCGCGGGGCGGGCCCGGCCGCGTCCCCCCCCCCGGGACCCCCGGGAGCCCTGCGGGAAGGTGACCGATCCCGGGACCCCGGCGCGGCTCCGGGGGGTCCCGGCTGCGGGTACCCACCAGCATCGCCCCGCCTCGACCCCGGGAGCGTCTCGGGGGTTCTGAGCCCAGCGCGCCCCCCGCTCCCGGCACCGGCCCCCCCATTCCCATTCCCACCCTCGTCCCCAGCCCCATCCCGGGGCCGCTGCGGCGCCTCGGGAGAGACAAAGAGGCGGCGGCGGCGGCTCCTCCCGCAGCGGCCCCGGGATGCGGCGGCCCCAGGGGGGCCCAGAGGCCGGGGGGGGGGGCTCTGACCCGCGGCGGGGGGGGAAGGGGACAGAGGGGACCCCCCGAGCCCTGGCGGCCCCCGCGCTCGGGGAGCGGCCGGGGATGCTCCGGGGGACGGATGGATGGATGGACGGATGGAAGGATGGAAGGATGGATGGATGGATGGATGGATGCGGCCGGCGGCGGCTGCGCCGTTAATCCCGGGAAGGGCCGCGCGGGGGGGGCGGGATGCGGCCCCCCGGCCCCGCATCCCAAGGTGAACGGGCGGGGGGGCTCAAGGGGGGGCCGGGGGTGCGGGCCCGGTCCAAGGGCGGTGCAGCGGGAGGGGAAGGGCAGGGCGACCCCGCATCCCGCGCCCGCCGCATCCCGCGTCCGCCAGGAATCCCGCACCCCACCACCACCACCACCCCCAACCCCGCACCCCCAAAAATGCCGCTCACCTGCAGCCGGGCGGGGAGAGCGAGTGGAAGGTGGAGAGCGAGAACATCTCGGCGCGATCCGCCATTTTCTCCGGCCGGGGCTGCGCCGGACTGCGGAGCTGCGGGAGCGGGGGGGCCGCGGGAGGAGCTGCGGGAACACGGGGGGAGCGGCGGGAGGAGCTGCGGGAAACACGGGGGGAGCGGCGGGAGGAGCCGGGGGAG